TTCTAGGTATGTCTGTGGTGGTGTTTCTGAAGGAGATTAGCATATGAATCAATGGATTGGGTAAAGCATATGGCCCTTTCCAGTCCGGGTGATCCTTACCTAGTCCACTGCAGGCCTAAATAGAACAAAGAACAAAGGCTGGTATGAGAATTTGCTCACTCTGCCTGCCTGTTTTCAAACTGGGACATCAGTCTTCTCTTGCAATAATCCTGAAACATATATCAACAGCTCTCTTAGATCTCAGGTCTTCAGACTTGGAATGAAGCTACACCAGCTACTCTTGGCTCTCCTGCCTTATCTTCATTTGCAGTCAAGAGATTGTGAGTATTCTCAATTTCCACCATCATGTGAGCCGGTAAGCCAATTTCTTACATATATTTTTCCAATGGTTCTGTTTCTCTGAGAACCCTGACTAATACATAAAGTATGAGCCTTAAATTATTAAAATATCTGAGGTTTAACCACTTTCCTGTTGCAACCACTAATTGGCTAGACAACTGCGTCTATTTTTAATTTTTTTTACCACACATTATGGAGCACCTATGTATGATGCTAGATTATGGGATTCTAAAAATTATTAATATTGAACCATTTATATGAGGAAGTGGGAAAGACAAATAACAGGTAAGATTTCTTAAAAAGCAAATGCTGTAGGTGTTGTGATACAATTAAAAATATTAAAGACTTGAAATATTAGCACATACTGACAAGTAATTCTGGAATTTAAATTAGTAATTACAATTAAAGTATAACAAAAGCATTAAAAACAGAAATACAAGCAAATAAATCACCATTTATTTGATAAACTATATCAGGTTTCATATTAACTACTTTCCAAATGCTTTTTTCCTCTTTATGAGGAAGAGAAAACCATTTTCCTCATTCAGCAGAAGAGGAAACTGAGGCATAGGTTACTTGAATGAGGTTGCTTAGTTAATAAGTGGAAGAGCCAAGATTTTAACCAGGGATGGACTGAATCTTAAGTTCACTTGTTACACCATATTGTTTCATTTTAAGTTCGATTCTACAATAATCACATGATATAGCTGATATATTAAGAAAGAAAGCTGATATAACTAAAAGGTTATATTACTAGAAACTCACACACAGTACCAATGTTCAAACACCAAATATGAACCATGTCAACTGCAGGTATAGTCAGTATTTTTAAAACTTAAGCAACATGCATACATATGTATTGCTGATGACATGGCATGCACTGAAAACTCTGTGGATGACTATGCTCCATAATATTACTAGTTATTACCCTTCCATAATGCAGCTGTCAGAGTTCTAAAATAAGCAGAGCTTTCAGAGTTTCATTTCTTATTTCTTCATCCAGCTGAGCCGTAAGTGTTATGAATACATGTGGGAAAATAGAGAAGCTTGATAGATTTAGAAACAGGTGTTTCAAATGAAAGCTAAAGAAACACAGCAAACTCTGAACCCTTAGTAAATCATAAAAGCAGCCTTTTATATTACTGCTATGGTTTGAAGGTTTCCCTTCCAAAATTCATGTTGAAACATGTTACACATTGCGGTAGCATTAAGAGCTGGGGCCTTTTGGGAAATGAATATAGCATCAAGCTCTGCCTCATGAACGGATTAGTGCACTATAAAAGGGCTTGAGGGAACTAGCTAAGGCACTTTTACTCTTCCACTTTTCCACAAGGTGAAAACAAAGTATTCATCCTTTTCTGTTTTTCTGTCTTTTATCATATGAGGACAGGCAAGAAGTCCCTTACCAGATGCCAAAAGCTGGCACCTTAATCTAGGACTTCCCAGTCTCCAGAGTTGTACAGTAAATCTCTGCCCTTTATAAATTGCCCAGTCAGATATTTTAGCAACAAAAAGAGACTAAGACAAATTAATGGATATTTTTAATGAAATTTTAATTTAAAATTTAATATCAAATTTGTTGTTATAGCAACAAAAAGAGACTAAGACAAATTAATGGTTATTTTTAATGAAATTTTAAGTGTGAGCTCCTGGAGAGAGAACTCAGTTTGAAAAAAAGCCTAAAAATGGAGACAAAAGCAGTCCTGATGTAAACACACCAAACCTAAAGCTAACCACCAGTGACTGCACAAATCTAGCCTGAAATAAAACTCAGTTCCAGTGAGCACTTTATCCTACTTTAAAACAGCAACACTTATGATTAAAACAAGAGGATATTTTTCAACAGAACAGGGAAGTCATTCATGGAGTCTTTGTCATATACCTTGAAAATTACACTAGAACAATATCACTGGTCTTCTGATTCAGTATTTCAGTAATACAACACAGTTGGAGCAGCAGCTACAAAATACATTCCCAGTCCTAGGCTATGTACTGCAGAGGGTCAAAGGTAGTTTAGTAAGAGTTTATTACCTCAAAGAGTTTCCAAAGCATAGAAATAGAAGAGACAAGAGTACAAACCATTATAAGAGACAAAACAATAAATCCATTAGGAAATGTAATTTCAAAAAACATTAAAGAATAAGTTGATTTTATCCTCTAATGATAAGTTTGAGGAGAGGTGAGGCAGCCAGGCAAAAAAAAAGGTGAGTCAACAAAAAGGAGTTGGAAGTAGGAATGCAAAGCCTGTTGGGTTGGTGTTATAAGTCATTGAAAGTCCGTTTTCATCAGAAAGATATGATGAGAACTATACATTATAAATATTTATTTGACAGCGGTGCTGGAGCAACAGATTGGAAAGGTGAAAACAGTAAGTTGGCTGGGCACGGTGGCTCACTCCTGTAATCTCAGCACTTTGGGAGGCTGAGGCGAGCGAATCATGAGGTCGAGAGATCGAGACCATCCTGGTCAACATGGTGAAACCCTGCCTCTACTAAAACTACAAAAATTAGCTGGGCATGGTAGCACATGCCTACAGTCCCAGCCACTTGAAAGGCTGAGGCAGGAGAATCACTTGAACCCAGGAGGCAGAGGTTGCAGTGAGCCAACACTGCAGTCACTGCACTCTGGCCTGGATACAGAGCTATACTCCACTGAAAACAAAAACAAAAATAAAACTAATAAGTTGTCATGACGGTCTATACAAGCAATCTGTGGGGACTAACTAAATGTGAGAGGATAAAATCTTAATTCTGGCAACTAAATGGATATGATCATTAAATCTGAATGTATAAGTAAAGATAGCTATAATACTTGAAGCTGGGACAATTAAAATAATGTTGGAGTCATTAACCAAAAATTATGTAAAAGTCAATTAGATGAGTTAGCTTGGTGAGCAAAGATAAATTTTTGACAATAGAGATTGAGAACTTGGAAAAGTAGATGTTTTCTATTCAAAGATTCAAATAGGTTTGGGGCTGGGAAAGAGTGCAGGGTTGAGTTGAGAATTTGGTGAGACATCACCAGAGAGACAATTGAAGTTGTGAAAGTAGACACATTTATAAAAAGAAGAGGTATGATGTTAAATGAAGTATGCAGAAGGAAATTGAGTTATATTTATATTTATTTAAGGGACAGAAAGAAGAAGTAAAACTAGTAATTAAGCATACAGAGTGTCAGATAAGTAGGACTAAATTTAGGATCCTACAATTTAAATGTAGCAACATTAAGGCATAAAGTCTAATATTTTTACCACGGCTTTACATGTTTCAATTTAATTAATACTCTGAACCATATTAGGTTCTGTTTAAGCCTTAAGCTTAAGCTTGCTACACCTTGATTTCCTCATCTATAAAATATAAATAATAATAACAAATTTGTGGAGCTTTAAAAATGTTAAATGAGTTAAAGCAAATAAAATTCTTTGAACAATGCCTGACACATAATAAACATCAGCTAGAGTTTTATCATTACAGTTTACATTATGAATGTTTAAACAGGCAAAGGATCAAAGAACTGGTAAGGGAAGCCAGAGAGTGACAAGGAGGAGGTGATGTTCAACAGTATCAAAAGCCAAAAAAGATTATAATTAAGAAAATACAAGTAAGTTTGTCATTAAGAAGTTCACTTACTATTATCCAGTGAGCTATATCATTGTGGGAGCAAAACAGAGAATTCAAGTGCTTCAAGAGAAAAGTATGCTATCTGTATAAATGTATAATTTCAGCATGCTTTCAGAAAACTAACCATTCATGTTGGTGAAGCTCATTAACTTTCCCGTGTTCTAAACAAAAACGTGTATGCAGTTTCTGTGTACCCATACCACAGCATCAGCTACATTATATTGCAATTAATACTAAATACAAATGCATTTATATATCAATGCTTTAAGAATGAAACAATACCGTTATATTCCGTGTACCTAGCACAGTACAGATCACATAGGAAACAATGAATAAATGCCAAAATAATAAGTTTAAACATAGATAATGCATTCAGACAAAAGCAAGGTTGTCACCATGGAGAAATATGCAATATGAAATTAATAAAATATAAGTAATCTTTGTTCTGAAAGTACTTTTTATTAACTTTACTTATCTTACTTATCTACTTGTTTAAGCCAGACTTTTAGTGTCATGACTGTGTGGAGAACTTTAGCAACAGAAATGCATAAAATCCCCTTTGGAAGAAACCTTCATGGTATAGTAGCAAGTAGGCATTTTCTTTATTTTAAGATGACATCATGGCATGTCTAGTTCCATAGGCATGGATACAATTATCTACTGGTGTATTCTTAACAGGGGGTTGCATGCTGTTAAAATGCCATGACAGAACTGCAAAACATATCTGCTGTCAACCCAGACAAAGGTCCCAACTGCCACAATCTCTCAGACTGAAGCTCAGTGATTCTTTTATAATTGGCCTGTAAGTCTTTCGCTGTTTTTAGATGAAGAGTAATTTGGCTAATTAACAATTTTGTGGGTTCCTGTTCTCTAGCTGTAAATGAAAATAACTCTTTTCTAGTTCATTTGCGATAACTTAAAGCAGCTTTCGTACACATGGACATAGAGATGGGAACAATAACCACTGGAGAATACAAGACGAAGGAGGAGGAGAAGGGGTCTATGGTTGAAAAACTACCTATTGGGTACTATGTTCCCTACCTGGGTGATGGGTTCAGTAATACTCCAAACTTCAGCATCAGGCAGTATACCTTTGTAACAAACCTCCACATGTATCCTTTGAACCTAAAATTTGGGGGGGAAAAAAAAAACTCATGTCTAAAAATGGCTTTATACACTTTACCAAAATGAATTCAAAGAGTGGACAAATGTTTTTGTGTAGTTAAAGGAGACTGAGTTTGTATATAAATAATGATATACGTAAATATAACAAGAACATTTATTGAGCATATAGGGTACTAAGTGCTTTGTTAAAAACTGTAAGGTATAAAAATATATTGCTTAGATCTTATCTTCAAAGAGTTTACTATGAACTTGAAAGGGAATCACTACATATTTAAAATTTTACAGCAACTTAAAACATATTGTCATATATACATTTATACCCTCATCATAAGTTCTCTAAACTTTGTCAGTCATCTCCAGATTAGTCTTTCTTCTGTCAGTTTAGTCCAATTCTTTGTACCATTTATAGAGGAGCATTCCAAAAATACAGATTATATGTGACTGCTCTAGATTGAAAGCATAATTTCCTGGCACTATAAGAGAATACAATCCACCTTCTTGGGACATCATACAAAGCACTCCACAATATGGCTGTTGGCAACCTTACTATTGCCATTTTACAATCCTATATTTAATGTCCAACAACACTTAGTCATAAAACTCAAAGTTCCATAAGAAAACACACTGTTTGTTTTCTTAAATGTCTTGGTTTATGCTGTTTCCTTTATCTAGTATGTCCTTCTGTCCACATGGTAAACTTTTGTTTTTACTTCAAAATGCTATGTAAGTGTCACATCTTCCCCCAAAGAAATATGAGAATAGATTCAGAGTGCTTATTTTCTAAGGCTTTATAATTAGTGGCATGCGAGCAAAAGTTTATCACCACCTCTCAAGACTTTTTTTAAAAGTCCCACATTGTAGCAGTTGTCAGACATTTCCATGGTGAAAATATGCCCAATTGGCCAATTTTAAGCGACTAAACTGGCATTGCTGAACAGGAAATTCAGAAGAGATGTGTCATTGGCTTTCCCAAACCAGTGTGAGCTGGCTGTAACCCACTGCTGGTTATAATCCAATAAAGATGCCTGCAATTTATAGATTACAGAACTCTCTAAATTAATTAACCTAACACTGATTTGTGTGCTACGCTTGTAAAAAAAAGTGCTAAGTAAAGCCTGACCATTTATATTTTAAAATCTTGATATCTAGCCTTCTAATCCCACATAATCTCTGTCAAATAACCCCTCAGAATTAATCAGAATATAATTTTACCATTTTTTCAAATTTCTTCCCATCCTTCCTCCATATGATAGATAATAAAAGTCACCTGACTGAAGGAACCGAAAGTCAGTGTTTTGGGGCTGATATCTGATGAAAGGAAGCAAGATAATTCCACTTTAGAGCTTTGCAAAAACTCTTCATCACCTTGTTTAAAATTTGAACATGTATTCCTTGAATCTAAAAGTTGGAAGAAAAACACTCACGTCTGGAAATGGCTTTTCACACTTTGCCAAAATAAACTTAAAGAGTTGACAAATGGTTTTTGTGTAGATAGACAAAACTACCAAAGTTTATTTTAAAAAAATAGATAATCTGAGTAGCCTTGTATCTCTAAAGAAATTAATCATCTAGTTGAAAAACTTTCTCATGTACAAAACTCCAAGTAATTCACTTTCAATTCTACTAATCATGCAAGGAGGATATGTTACAAATTCAACATAAATCTTCTAGGCAACTGAACAGGAGAAGGTACTTTCCAAGTATTTCTAAAGTATCACCTTTGATACGGTTTTGCTCTGTGTCCCCACCCAAATCTCATGTTGAATTATAATTCCTAATGCTGAGGGAGGGAGCTGGTGGGAGGTGGTTAGATCATGGGGATGGATTTTCCCTTTTCTCATGAGAATGAGTGAGCACTCAGGAGATATGATGGTTTAAAAGTGTGTGGAAATCCTCCCTTCGCTTTCTCTCTCTCCCTCCTGCCACCATATGAAAACATGCTTGCTTCCCCTTTACCCTACTGTCATGATTGTAAGTTTCCTGAGGCCTCCCCAGCCATTTCTGCTGTACAGACTGTGGAACTGTGAGTCAGTTAAATCTCTTTCCTTTAAAACTTAGCTGCCCAGTCTCAGGTAGTTCTTTATAGCAGTGTGAGAATATACTAATACAACCCTGATTCCAAAACCACAACTATTACAAACTACATATAAATAATTCTCATGCATATAGATATAAAAGTTATTGCCAAGATTATATTGTTATCAACTCTCTCTCATATATATACACGTATATATATATATATATATATACGTATATATATATATATACACACACACACATACACACAGTCTCTCATACACACACACACACACACACACAATCAAACACACATAATCAGGTTGGTTTTATCTCAGGAATTTAAATATGGTTTAAAATTTTTAACTAGTCAAATGTAATTCACTGAATTAACAAACAAAAAGAGATAAGCCATACGATCATCTGGTTAGCTGAACAGAAGGGATTTGAAAAATATTTAATATCCATTAATGATAAAACGTGCCAACAATGTAAAAAGAGAAACTTAATCTGATAAACACATCTATGAAAAACCTAAACTTAATGTCATACATAGAGGTGAAACACTAAATGCTTTCTCCTCTAAGTTCAAAAATAATGTAGAATTCCACTATCACCACATGTATTCAACATTACACTAAAATTTCTGAACACTGACTAAGAGAAGCAAAAGGAATAAAGGATCCAGATTGGAAAGAAATAAATAAAACTATATTGTCAGACAAGATGATAATCTATGTAAAAAATCAAATGGAATCTACAAAAAAAAAAAAGCTAGAAGTAAAAACTAAGCGTAGCAAGTCTGCAGAATGCAAAATGTTAAAAAATGTGTTTTTAAATATTATCAATGATCAAGTAAAGTTTGAAGATTAGAAATGCAATACCACTTACAATAGCAGTAAAACCTGGAAAATGCTAAGAAAGAAATCAGACCAAAACTCATAGGTAACATTCTGTACATACATTGAAAACTAAAAGTCTTCCTGGGAAAAATTAAAAGAAGACCCAAATAAATAAAAACATATATTTTGTTTGTGGTTCAGAAGACACAATATTATCAAGATGTCAATTCTCTCAATTTGCTGTATAACTTCAAAATAATATCAATCAAAATTCCAAAAGGATTTTTAATACATATTGACAAACTGATTCTAAAATTTATATAGAAAAGCAAAGTAAATAAAATAGTCAAAACCACTTTACAAAAGAAGCATAAGGTTGGAGGACTAATGCTCTCCAATTTCAAATTTTATTAAATGGCTATATTAACTAATGCAGTGCAGTATTTGCTTCAAAATAAACGAATATACTAGTGGCACAAAAGATTGGGTCCAGAAAAAGACCCACCCATATACAGACAATTGGTCTTTGACAAAGGGACAATGGCAAACCAGTAGAGAAAGAGCAGTCTTTTCAAGAAAACAAGTGGATACTTATGAATAAACACACAGTCTACTGGTACCCAAAAATTAACTAAAGGTGATTTATAGACTTAAGTGAAAAATATGAAAGTATAAAACTCCTAGATGATAACTAAAAAGAAAACTTTCATGACCTAGGATTTACAATACCAAAACTTGATCCATAAAATTAAAAGTTCATAAATTTAACTTCATCAATATTTAAAATATCTACTTTTTAAAATATATTGTTATGAAAATGAAAAGTCAGATGAGAAAATATATATGCAAATGACATATATATACATACCTATAAGTGCATACATATACATATGTGTGTATATGCATGTGTATAGGTATGTGTATATTCCTTCTATCTGGCTTATTTTTTCATTTTGTGTGTGTGTGTGTGTGCATATGTCTGCAGAAAAGAGTTGCACTCAGACTATATAATGGACTCCTAAAAGTCAACATTAAGAAAATAAATAATTCAGCTAAAAAATGGGTAAAACATTTGAATGGACACCTCACCAAAGAAAACATAGAGATTACAAATAAACATGTTAAAACATGCTGAAATTATTAGTCATCAAGGATATGCAAACAAAAACCACAGTGAGATACCACTATAAATCTTTTAGAATGGCTAAATTAGTCTGACTGTATCAAGTGTTGTCAAGTATTTGGAGAAATAAACTTTCATTCACTGCTGATGAAAAATGTAAAATGATACAACTTTGCAAAACAAACTGGCAGGTTTATAAAAAGAAATTAAACATGCATCTAACACATGATGCAGCAATTCTAAGCCTAGATATTTACCCTCACACACACATATCTATATAAAGGAACATATATCTATATAAAGATTTGTATAAGGATATCCGTAGCAACTCTTTTAATATTCAGAAGATGGAAATAACCAAAACATGCCTAAACAGGTAAATAGATAATCTAATTGTGGTCTGTTCATACAATGAAATAGCATTCAATAAAAAGGAAAGTGCTATTGACACAAGCAAAGACGTAGACAAATCTCAAAGTAACTACACAGAATTTTAAAAACCAGGCAAACAAGAGAACATATTGAATGATACCATTTATACAAAATTATTAAGAATATAAAATAGTATATAGTGAGGGAAATCTCCTGTGGATGAATGTAGGGATATTATAATGCAGGAGGTGTGGGAGATAGTGATTATTAAAAAGCTACAAGAAAACTTTTTGGGAGTGATAGTTATTCATCATCTTGATTACAGTGATGGTTTCATGGTGCATACATATGTCAAAACTTAGCCTATTGTATATTTTATGTATATGCCATTTGTCAAATTCATTATACTTCAATAAAGCTACTAAAAAATAGATAAGGGAGGCTGAGGCGGTGGATCACGAAGTCAAGAGATCGAGACCATCCTGGTCAACATGGTGAAACCCCGTCTCTACTAAAAATACAAAAAATTAGCTGGGCGTGGTGGCACGTGTCTGTAATCCCAGCTACTCAGGAGGCTAAGGCAGGAGAATTGCCTGAACCCAGGAGGAAGAGGTTGAGGTGAGCCGAGATTGCGCCATTGCACTCCA